AACATAGATAGTAGAGTTAGGAACGCCATGTTTCGCAAGCTCTGCACTGACAAACAAAGAATAAAAAGTCACTAAAAACTCTGTGCTGACCACAGACACTTGGAGATAATTTTACTTTTTATTTCCAATGCTGTTGATGACACCAAATCATCTATCTTAAGTTGGTATATAGGAATTGAACAGTGAAAATATTTAGTGAGGCCTCGTTCTCTCTGCCAGATGTACCACAAGACACAAACAGCTACAGTGGCGGTTAATTTAGATTTTTAAAACAATCAATGCCCTCTGTAATGGTGAAGCTTGATTTCAAGACTTTCCTCAAGGTGCAGCACTTCCGTGTAATACAGTGGGGGCGTTGTTTGTTCATCTTTTCTCTTTTCCATACCTTTCACATTTCTTCCCTTGCTTTAGGTAAGTGGCTTTCAGTCTGAGGGTCTGGAGTCACCTAAATTGGCAGAAGTTTGCTCTTAAACAAACAAACAAAAAAACCCCATGTAGTAACAAAAAGTTTATATGTAATAAGGGAAGTTCATAATTGTTTCCAAGTGTGACTTTTCTGAGAAATGTGGCAATGTGAGGTATGGTTCAGAATAAATATTTGTTATCCCTTTGTAGATGGAACAGGTCTTCAATGTCAGTTACTGCATCATATCTCCTTCCTACTATTTCTTCTTCCTTGCTACAGATGTCAACAGTCTGGGTGTTTCTTTCCTTACGCTAAGTGGCTTTCAACTTAAGAGTTTGGAATCGTCCAATTCCTAAACAAGAACTTAATTCTGACTTTTTGGGGTTTTTTAGCCCTACTAACTGCAGTAGGTACCCCAGCTTTGGTGGACATCTGAGAGGGGTCCTGAAAATCAAGGAGGTGTTGATATTAGATGGAATGGATGATCTAGCAGATCTTTTCTACATTTAAAGTGTGTGTTGTGGCAATGCTGTATAAGTGCATTCACGTTGGCCCCAAAAAATTACAAACTAGAGCAATATGAGAAATAGAGACCTTCAACATATAATACTGTGTTCTGCTTTTAATCTCCAAGGTCTCAATGCTTCAGTTTAGGGCTTGTATTTGCTTTTTCTATCCAATGGATTTGCTTTATAACTTAGGAACTCCTCTTTTTTTTCTCCTCCCAATTTCTACATTAACCTGGCACAATCAGACTATTGATTTCCATCACTTAAATAAAAGCCCAGACACTTGTGTCATCTCTGTAGCATCTTTGTTTCACTGCATGGAACATAGTAACCAGGTCTCATACTACACAAGGCAGGACAGACTGATCCACTTTCCTGTGAGCTTTCTTAGCTCTGCAGAATCAATAGGAAAAGTGGCAACAGCTGCTCTCAGAAAATAAATGAGCAAGAAAGTGATCCTTCTCTAGTAAGTTTTCAGGATGGAGTAAGCTGAATTGATCAAGTACTATGAAGTAGCTTTAGACTTCCAAGTTTTGTAGCTGCAATATCACTGTGTCAGGACTTTACCCCTGAAATCCACATATGCATATTTAGACAACCAGAATACATGTGAAATGTTAATAAATAATACACAGCTGAGCATTCGTAGGGTGGTGGTCACTTTTGTCCTTCACGCGGCTAAGGTGCTGTAAGTATCGCAACGATACAACTAATGTTCTACAGCCAGTGAATGTGCCTGAAGTTTGGGGCTGCCTTGTTCCCTTGCTGGTCTCACCTCTTACCTGGTGGTCTTCCCTGTTGGTCTTCAGCCATCCAGCTGATTACAAGCTGTAAAGTTCTGACTTGCAGTGTTTCGGTACCACCAGTTTCATGGTACGCTCATCAGAGATCTTGAACTTCCATTCGTTTTTCAACCAGCATTTTTTTTCTCCTGTGATGTCAGACAACTGAAAGCAGCAATTTGAAAAAATTAGGCCACTCAGGTTTCTATATATAGCAGCTCTCAGATCCCAAGAAAGCCAGTACTCTCATCTAGTCTGTTTTTAGCTGTCAGTGTTTGTAAATTAATATTAACAGAGTTGGTCTTACGTAGAATTTTAAGTGTCATCATGTTTTTTCCTTCTGCTTGCTATTTCCAGCTTTTTCCTCTCTTTTTGGCATTTTTACTTCAATTAAAAAATAGTTGTCTGTTTTTCAGCCCCTTTGCTTTTTTTTCTTTATACTAATGATGAGCTGACCTTCAGCAAAGGGAATTGTGGTCATAACATTACTGAGAAGCACCTGACTTGCATCAAAATCAGGCTGGTGTGATGTCAGGCAGGGGGACTAGTTTCAGCTTTAGGGTTCTGTGCACACCATTTCTCATAAATTAAACATGAGGATCTCCATATATTGAAGTTATTTGTTTTTTTAATAAAACCAATTTTTTTTTTTATTGACAGCATGGGGGAGTTGGGGAGGGGATTAAAGAAAGAGTCAATGACTCTTCGTAGGAAAGGCAGAATATAACTGTATGGCAGATGTTAGAAGAGTTTATGAAGTTAACTGTTTCTGCTTTATATATTTACTCATAAAATAACATTGACTTTTTTTATGTACGACAGAAAAGGCAGGGCAAGAAATAGTTTTCACAGAGGGTTTATGAATATAGTTTTATTTGTTTGATTTTGGTGACGCACACACACACCCCCCTCGAAAGTGCTGGTCTGTTTTTCCTCCAGAGGTGCCACCTGAGTGTTCACAGATGCAAAAGTAGAGAACATACAGCAAAAAACTGTAGTTTCATTTTGCTGAGAAGTGGTGGAACACGTTACCCTTACATGAGAGTTACAGCCATTCTCTTGTCCTGCTGGCCTGATAAAAGAGCGAGACCTAAAAATATTCTTTTCTAACATGGAATCATTGCGTGGAGAAGAAAGGAGTCGCTGATCTACTTTATTCACATTCTTCATATTTTATGCTGCCTGTTGAAAAAAGAGAAAAATGCTTTCCATATGCATGGAGCAATACAATTTGCATTCATGAGGGTAGAATGGGGAACATTCTTGAGAATCTTGCATTTAATTTAAGCTTTCTTTGATTCGCTATGTGCTTCTTAATTCATTTGTATATGTATGCTATTTTCACTCACAAGTGATTGAAATAAAGGAAGGAGGCGTTTGAGAGCAGCAGCTTTGTACAGGGAATATGTTTTTCTCCGTGGTGACAGGCTTCCCGTGTGACGATAGGCAGGTGCCCCGGTCCATGTCTCAGTCCCGTAGCCGTGCGGTGGGGTTCAGGGCAGCTCCCAGCCTCTCGCACACCTGGAGAATCCCGTCTCTATCTGTGCGGCTCTGGGGGTCGGCCGGGGGAGCAGCTCTCTAAACACTTCTTGCCCTGGAAGACTGGCAAGTAGTTATTCTTAGAAAATCCGAGCTCTTTATTTAAAATGTATTTGAGATCAAAACTATTGCTACAAAGTTGCAGGTGTAAGTTTAACTTACAAAGTTAAACTCTCTGAAAGCTTAACAATGCCTCACTGAAGGATGCTCAAAGGCTAGTGTTGCAAGTTTTAACTTTTTTTTTTTTTAATCTGCTCATTACTGACTATACATTTGGATTTTTTCCAGTGTTATTCCTAGATCTTTGTATTTGGTGGAATCTGAGCCTGTAAGCTGACCGCAGAATTATAGATGTTAAATTTTCAGCTGAATAAACTTCTCATTTTTGGCACAGATTAATACCCGTAGCTTTTGTCTGTCTATCTAATGAACTAGTCTTACCTACCTACTGTGGCACAGAAGGTCAGAGCCTGGCAATCCCATATCAGTCTGCCTTGGCCCTTTTTCTCTTGCATGTAACTACGGTGAGCATTATGGTGTCTAAGTGAAGTTCATATGGCAGGCAACTCCCACATAGGGTGCAGTGTCACTAAAAATATGTCTTGGGAATGCTCATCGGAATGGCTACCAGCACGCAGTAATTTTCTACATGCTGTGCAACCTTCCCTCAGAAGATATAGTAGTAGTTCACAGTGTATATATAGCAACATTGTTTCCTGGAACTGTTTTAGGTGATCAGCTTTTTAATCACTGAATGAAGGCTTTGATACCTTGTAGAATTATTCTGTTAAATCATATGTAGAAAACTAGAAGACTGTAGCTTCCACAGTACAGCTTCTGCGCTTGTATCCAGGAGCAGTGGTCTTACATGGTGTATCAATAAACTTCTCTTTCAGGTCACTGTCATGAGAAAAATCCAGATGACAGTCATGACAAGGAAAAATACTTTGATGACCACCATGAGTCAGTTACAGCAGTGGCAGAAGGACAGTCTGAGGGAGGTACAGAAGATCCAGAAGTCCTTACTCAGAGTTCAGCAAGGGATCCCTCCTTCTCAAGACTGGAAAGTAAGTCAGCCTTACAAAATCAGTGCTGGCAAATGAATCGGTTTCTAGATTTTTCAGAAGAGCTTCCTCCAAGAAGCTGCGTTCCCCCCACCCCATCTGTAAAGTGACAAGTAACCCTTAAAACCAGTTTCATTCTGTTCACTGTTGTTCTTCTCGAAGTCTAACATCAAAATGCAGTAAATCAAAAAATGAGATCAAGGTTTAGATGCTTTCCAAGCTAAAGGATGTAGTTTCTTGCAAGACTCTGCAAACACATGTTGCTTGTACCTCAGTGAATTCTGTATCAGCTGGGCCAGACAGGAGGGAAGAAAAACAGTGTCTATGGTTAAGTTACAGAACCTTATTCAGGTACAGAATAAGGTTAAGGTACAGAACCTTTATTCAGTGTTTAATGCACATATGTAGAGAAAAGACACCACCTGTTTACTCCATCAAACAGGCAGAATTCTGGTTCGGAAAGGGAACTGATGAAAATGGTGTAGAGGTGTTGATTTTTGAAGCAACAGTTGATGCTTCTTTGCAGTGGGGAAGTCTATATTCTCCAGTCCCCCTCTCCATTTGCAGCGTGTAGTGAGTAGTCAGTGCTATTTGGTTTGTAAAGTGGAAAAGTCAGGTCACAGAAGAAAGATCCTTTTTATACCATTTGTGGAAGCAGCAGGAAGAGAATTTTTGAAGTTTTTATGGTACTCCCTTTTAGATGCAGTCACTGCAGAAAGCAACGGTTCAGAAGGAATGGACGGGTTAGAAGATGATCAGATGTCTGAAGAGATGCTGGCTTTGGTGGATGAGTTTGAAAACTCTTGGCCTCAAGAAGCTTTTGAAGGGGCACTGGAGGTAAAAGGTCGCCGGATGGACTTGCAGGGAATCCGGGTCCTAAAGAAGGGATCTCAGGATGGACTGGCTAGCTCTTGTTTTGGGGACTGTGGTGATGATGATGAAGCCGAATGGGTAAGTTTGGATGAGTTTACTTAAGTCTCATACCAACTGACTGTTGTGGAGGAGGGAAAGATGAGGACAGTTCAGGGGGTTTAACACTGCAATATATATATAGGAACTTCCCCTGTGGACCTAAAAGAGCTGGTTCATGGCTTCTGTGAAATGAGCAAGTAGTTTAAATCTATCTTTTAAAGGACAGGCCTCTGCATCACTAAAACTAACATCATTTAGTCTGGAGAAGAGGCTGTCTACAACGACCTGAAAGGAGGTTGTAGCGAGGTGGGGGTCGGTCTCTTCTCCCAAGTAGCAAGCAATAGGACGAGAGGAAATGGCCTCAAGTTGCGCCAGGGCAGGTTTAGATTGGATATTAGGAAAAATTTCCTCACTGAAAGGGTAGTCAGGCACTGGAACAGGCTGCCCAGGGAAGTGGTTGAGTCCTCATCTCTGGAGGTAGATCTGGCACTTAGGGACATGAAAGGTTAGAAATAATTCTATGATCATGCCATGATTATCAGCAGCAAGAGCTTAGGTGTTGAATGATGCCCGCTGCCTTCAAACTTCTTGCTCACAGTTACAAAGGAGAAAAGTTTCTAACCACAAGTTCTGGTTAGCATGAAAACAATGAAATATCTGTTGTCATCATGTTACAAACAAAATATATAATGAAAAATGCCTTTCAGTTCTCTAGCAGTTAAATTGGTTTTCTCTTATGTTGGAGATGGAAGTTGTGTACTTTGTTTGCATGGTGTGATGCAGTGATAGTGAGCAGGCCTAGAGAATGGGTCAAGATGGGAAGGGAGGGAGAGAGAGAAAAAGATCTCAGCTGTAACATCTTTGAAATTGAATCGTTGGGCTAAAACAAGTAGTGTATTGGAGCTGTTAACGTTCATGGTGTTTCTTACTGTTAACCTTGCCAATACTGTTCTTTTGGTAGATCACTTTTCAGGTCAAACGTTTAAAGAAACCAAAAGCTGAAAGCTTGGATCTCCAGGAGCCAGTTGGGAGAAACGGGGAAGAAGGGACTAATGGAGAAAATGAAAATTTTTACCAAACTGCCCTGGAGATCAGTGGACCAAAGATACCTTCTCCTGGACCAATAGGTAACCTGCTGCTTCTAGAGAAAGCAAGTCATTTGCAGCTTTTGTATTACTCTGGTTTATTTCCTTGGCAGCTTTTATATTACACAGGTTTATTACCATAAATATGCATCACAAAGACTGCGTAGTGAAATATGCCTTCTAGATGAGTATGTGGAAAAATTAGAAATCTCTTCCATCTGCACCTTCTTCATGAAGTGCAGCATAACTTTATCTGCTGAATGAAAACTTCATAGTTAATTCCCAGAACTTCTGGGGATGAGGTGGTAAGAGTGGAGAATGAAAGAGGTAGATATTGTGAGTAGAAGTAGTAAAGGAGAGAAGGAGTTTTAATATTTTTCTTAAACTAACTTCTCTGCCCATTCAGTTTTAATCAGATGAGAGACACCCCTTTGGTGACAAATGCAGGATGAGAGCTTGAATTGGTTACTGATGAAACATAAGACACACAAAAACAAAAGGCAGAAAACTTGGTCTAATAAAAATAAAATAAAAATTAAGTGTTCTGCCATAATTGGTTTGGTGATATTATAAGAGAAAACTTAGAGACTGTCTTCCAGAAGACTGGAGTTACAGAAGAGTAGAGTTTTGCACCAACATAGATGAGGTGGTTTGGAGAGAGAGGTGGAGGTTTTGCTAGTTGAGTAACAGGAATTGGAGAGTGGTCTATTATTATGGTGCAAGCTAGTTCCGCTGGTGTGTTCAGGTGGACAGAAATCATCAGGACCTGATTGCGTGGGATGAAGTTTAGAGCTGCTGGAACCTAATGATGCAAAAGAAGAGAACCAAAATAATTGGCCCCCATACTTTTTGTCTTACCTTGATTTCAGTGGAGGTAAAATCTTTGTCATAGGGGTGATGTGTAAGCAAAGATGGGTTCTTCGATACATTTTAGTTCTTGACAATTTGGTGACCTAGAAAGTGATTTCACATTTTCAAGTCTTCTGCATTAAATCTTTAACAAGCTCTTTTTTTTAGCAACTGACGAATGTAAGTTACTGAATTAAATATTTAAATAGGGGGGAGGGATTATATGAAAACAGACTATCATTTATGAGCACGCACTTGTCCTTTCCTTGATGCATCTTCTCTCCCCAGAGCTACTTTTGTGGCTTTATTACATAGCATCCTTCAATTGTAAAGTACTTATCTTCCTAATGCTCTAGTGAGGCAGGGTCCGCTGACATCCTCTTTACAAGAACTAAATCATCAAAAGTTTAAGTAACATATTGGAGGTCACCTGGGGAGTTCCTGGTAGAACAGGGAAATGACGCTAGCTGTAGTGTGTTTGACTGCCTCTCAAGACTACTGAACTGTCTCTATGTAGTGTTTCCATACCTCCCGCTATCTTTGGCCATTCATGCAAATAGGAACAATCGGATAGTTCACAGTGGTGGTGATGAGAACTGATCATTCCCCTCTGAAGTTTCCCAGTGTTTCTCGAAGTTAATTCTCCTTTAATCAGAATACTTTACGAAAGACATGGTATTACGGACTTCATCGTTATTTTGCAAAATTGTGGTGAAGCATTTTACTATACTTTGGATGGGAAATAGGATTTGCATCCAAATGGGCAAAATTTCAGGTAACTAGAAATAAATACTGAAATACTGCCTACGTAGCTGATGCGATAGACTGGCACGTTGTTAAACTTGGCTTCCCACTGTGCAAATTTATGGCTACGATGAATTTTTCTTATGTTCCAAACAGTTCAGATGTTTCTGATATAAGAGGAAAATGTTTCCTAACAGTTAACACAGTTGGATTCCTAGGACTTGGTACAGTATCCACCAAATGTAAGGGAAGGATTTCAGTAGGCTTTGGTTCAAATGTGAAGTTCAGGTTCTTGCTTCTCCCGGTGATCTATTTGTTAACATAAAGTGAGTTGTTTAACCTTTCCCTGCCTCAGTTAACTTCTCTGCAAAATGGGAGGGCTGAAGTGTAATTGCTTAATAGTTTCAAAAATGTTGCTATCTTGAGTGTAAGAATGCAGTAAAAGCCACTATCTGTCTTAAACAATATTCATTGAAAAGAAACAGCAGTATTTTTCACCTGGGATTGTCAGAAGATGGAGCAATCAACTTTTATTAGTTTTTACTGTACCCGTAGAACATAAATGATGACTCACTTATGAACTTTCTTTAAGGACATTTAAGTAGAGACATTACCTGTAAACAAGAGTGGCAATTGTTCTTAATGTGTAGCTATTGAAAAAGCGTAATGAATAAGGTTTTAAAGCTCTGCCTCCTAATCTGTCTTGCGTAAGATCCAGTTCTGTCTTTGGATCCCACAAGTTCCATTCAGTCTATTTAGGTTCAGGAATGTTCTTAACGCTGGCTGCAGGACTGTGACTTTTATCACGTAGGGAATGTATCCACTGGTATGAAGTATTTTGTAAATCATTGTACTGAAGTAGAATGTCTTTCCGCTTCCAGACAGTTTCTTCTAGTTTTTTTTTTTTTTCTTTCCTTTCTCAAGGAAAAAGGCGTGACTATCGTAGCCTTGGCTGGCCAAGCCCTGATGAATGCCTGAAACTCCGTAGGGTAGAGCTTACAACTGTAGCCAGCACGTGGCTTGCTGTTTCTGCTAAAAACATCGAGTAAGTATCTTGTATGTGAACCTGCTCACACAAAGCAAGACAGTTACATGGCCTTCAGTGTGTATAAACTGAAGATTTTAGTATTCTTTAAAGTAAAAAAGGACTGCCAGGATTTCAAAGAACTTTGAAAACTTCATGTGGTATTTCATCGATAGACTTGCAAAGAAAAGTGCAAGTGCAGACGGAAGATCCAGTTTCTCTTGCTTCTTGAGCTACTCATGAGATTTTGCCAGGTTCTGGGCAGTTTACACTCACTAGAGAACTTTGTAATGACTATTTTGTTTTCTTATCCTGACTGATTCAACTTGTTTTGACCTTTGTAGCATTACAGAACACATTGATTTTGCCACGCAGCTGCAAGAACCAGCCATGGAGCCCCTTTGTAACCCAAATCTACCAGCCAGTATGCATACTTTGGACCACCTGCAAGGTGTCTCTAGTCGGGCCAGCTTGCATTACACTGGAGAAAGTCAGCTGAAAGAGGTATGCCAGAGTTGAAGGCTGTCACACAAAAATGGGCGATTCAAGGCACGTTTAGCTCTGTGCCCTGTCTCCAGAAGGGACCTTCAGTGAGTGAATGCCTGGATAAAACTGTAAGAACAATGCAAGCTGAAAGCGATATTTTACCAGAATGTTTTCTCAGCCACCTATGATCTGGCCTGAGGGAAATCCTAAAACACAGTTACTGTCTTTGTATTTATAGCTCTTGATGGATGAATTAGTGAAAGAAAAGTGCAACTGAGCATACATAAACTTCTGCCATTCTTAGTTTGCAGTGCCATGGAGTTATAACACTGTGTGATGATACAGATTATATTAACTCAAGATAGACAGTGATGTTTAGGTTGGAATGGGTTACAGCGTTTGTAAAAGGCTGGAGGAAAAAGCAACCAACAAGTGAGGGACATCTCTTACCAGGTTCCGGCATCTAAACACTTGTTCTTCCTCTTCCACAGGTGCTACAGAATCTTGGTAAGGACCAGTACTCACCACAGTCATTAGAACAAGTTGGTACTCGAATAGCCAAAGCTTTGGAAAAGGTATGTGTAAATGAGAAAAATGAGAAGTCTGGGCTTACTGCTCATGACTGATGTAGTGGTCAATCCAGTCTTAAACCATTTGTCTGAAATCCCGGTCAAGGAACGTATTAGTACTTGGACTAGGGATTTGTGTCTATTCAGCATCTGTAATGCCCTCACAGGTATTTTGTTGAGCTGCGTCCTGTGCTTACGCTGTCAAGTGTCTTGCTTATCTCTCTGCTAAAACCTAAGCTTGTCAAATTTCGCGATGTTTCAAGCCCTAGTGAGCAGTGTTGCTGGTTGTTGATATATATTCAACTATTTCAGCAGCTCTCAGCCCTCCTCTTTCTTTTTGTGCTACATTGACTTGGAGCTTATGGAAAGTTGAGTAAAGCCATGGCTCAACTTTCCAGTCGTGCTCCTGGCATGCAGCGGTCAGAGAGCTGACAGGCAGGGGCTTCCTCTCTTCTCTGCCTACTTCCTTTTACCTCATGCCATGTTGGGCTGAAGCATCAGATGTGTTCAGGCAGAGGCATGGCACCATGTGCAAGGCTGCACTTCCTCTTCTCCCCAGAAAAAGCCAAGCTTCCTTGCTAGATTAAGGCTGCTAAGGACCTCAGCTGAGGTCCTTAGGAGGAGATGATTAGGGACATAATTTTCCTAGGATCTACGAGGTAGGTAAGGATGCAGGGATTGTTGTTCTATGTTTACAGCTAGTGGGAAGGATATCCCAAACTACTATAGAAAAGAGGGCTCAGCCAAAACAGTTTGGTGCCCCAGCCTGTTCTACCAAAAGCCATCTGAGGAACTTACTATGCTTTGAAACTAAAGCCAGTATAGCTTTGTCACTCCCAGAAAGTAAAGATGTTACACTTATGCTCATGTTACAAGACTTAGTTTCTTTTCACTTTAGATGTATACTAACTTTTTCTCTTACATGCTACAGTTCCCCCTGCAGACGGCAAGCTTTACCCAAATAAGCTGAAAATTTAACGCTGAGACCAGAAACAGAATTCTCAGTAAGGCTAGCTGTGCTGGAAATAAAATGCAGTTCTTCTGTCTACCAGTCTCATTCAGTATTCACAAGAGCTAATCAAACAAATCAAGATGGCTACTTATCTAATTGCATATGTGAGCATAAACATTCATTTACTATATCTGAGTCCACAGAATTCAAGCACATAGTATTTTCTTTTCTAACACGTGACATGGGAGTCAGCCAGCTAAAGGCACCAAACTTAATCAGCTAGACTTGTCAGGCTTCTGCTCTGAGCTGCATCCCAGAGCATCCTTTCTCTTTCCGATGACTACAGAGAGCCTACAAGTCCAATCAGCTAACTTAGCTAAATTTTCTGCTTTATGTTGGGTAATGTGTATATACATCTAGATGCCCAGCATCAGACAGCTGGTTAGAAGCTGTTGTGGCTGCTGAAACTGTTGTTGCTGTTTAAAGCTATTTAGCTGCTATTCCTTTCTTAAGAAAATGATGTTGCATTTGGAATTTGTGTTTCATTCAGCAATCTCATTTACCTGGCTATTGCATATATGTTGTTAGATAAGAAACTTTTTACTACTTTTAAATAGTTTAATACTATTTTTAAGCGTGACACCCTCTAACTCAATATATCAAATAAATTGGAAGAGTGAGAGACAGTAAGACTGTTCACTACAGGTGTTTACATGACTGGTTTTTGTGTTCTTCTTTCACCAGAATCAGACTTCATGGGTCCTCTCTAGCATGGCAGCTCTTTACTGGAGGGTGAAAGGCCAAGGAAAGAAGGCAATTGATTGCTTACGGCAAGCATTGCACTATGCACCCCATCACATGAAGGTGTGTATACGTGTGCCCACTGCTCAGATGAAATAATGTTTTGCTTGTCATGACAGAGCTTTCACAGACAATTGTTAAGGCCAACACTGTGTGTGTCAAATGTCTATAATGTGTTAGATATTAGCTAGTTGTGGTGAAACTTCAAGACTTTCACCACCTGTTTAGTGTGGACTGTCTCTTTTTAAAAAATAATAATAATTTAAAAAAATAACTGCAAAAGAGGTTCAGTGGAATTTCCTGCAGTTCAGTGTATTTGACACCTCTCTGGGCAATTGAGCTTTCCCCTGTTATGTAGGACTTTGAATCTTCAGCAGCCTTTGCCTGGTCAAGTCTTCTAACCTAAGAGTGGGGAGTATACCTTCTGGCTGCCCTTTTAAAGAGGGGAGGAGGTGATATCTAAACGAAGAACTTAAATGCTTAACTCTTAAGTGTTTGGACTGTGAATCTCAGCTGGACACTAGTGCCTGACTTCGTGCAGCAGTTCTGTGCTTTACTCCAAAAAAGGCAGTACTTTGGACACAATCTTCTGTTTAGTGTTTCAGTTGACTAAAGTGCTTTGTACCCTTCACCTCGCCACATGGTATGCTGAGCATTATAATGTCTATTCTTATACACCAAGATCCTCCTTACAAACTAATAAATGCAATTATAGGCTCCTCACTTAACATTGCAGACTTCACTTTGGGACCTGAGCAACAAATTGTGTAGCACTGCAAAATGTATACTCCTTTTTGAATCTTGATCTTATCTCTCGGTTTTCAGAGAAGGATTTAAAGTACTTTACACTCTCAGGATATTATTAGGAGGATTTAACCATTAACAGTAGAAATGCCTCAGCTCAGAAAGGCACATCCTATGTACCTGTGTCCCCTATAATTCTGTCTCTTTGCACTTGTCCTTTTAAAACAAGGTTGGAACCAAGATCTAACACAGCAAGCTCTTGCTTGTTTTCCTGTCTTTCTATGTAACTGGGGATGGTTCCTCAGAAATGGTGCCCTTAACTGTGTGACTTGTAAGGGTCAGAGTATGGATTGGAAACTACAGTTTGGCAAGATTATGGTGTAGTAGTGCTGTGTTCTAGAAATGTGCTATAAAGTTGCTTGGGACTGGCTGACTTTCCAAATTTGTGACTTGTTTTTATCCTCCATACTGAAGCTGCCTGCAGAGAAAATAGTGGGTCTTATTTGTAAAGATCCAGCTGCAACTTGAACTCAGTGAGAGTTAGCACCAAATGAACAGCTATTTAATATTTTGTTTTATTCTCCTCTTTGGTTTTATGCACTCTCACTACTTCCTCTTGCCTTTTCTCATGTAAATAAAAGGTAATTAATTTTCCTGTGGGTTTCTTTTGTGATTCCAACTTCCATAATATCTGCTTTGCAAACACAAATGACTTACCCACCAAAGGTACTCCTTGCTTTGTAGTGGTCAAGGAGGCAGGGACCAAATACATCCAAAATTTTTTATTGTCCTGTTGAGGGCACGTAAGACTTGCTACTAAGCAGTATTTCGTGCTTTGAAGTTGCGAAGCCCAGCTCACAGAGTCTGTTATAGCTGTCAGGGCCCAACAGTTTTGCCAGTCAGACAAAGTCACGGTCTGGAAATCCAGGAAATAAAAAACATAGCATCAGTGACTAGCTGAGAAAATTTTATTTGTAGCTGTTACCCAGCATCATATAGGAATTCTGTGGCAGAGACAGGATAAAAAACAGTGCATCACTAATGGTTAGACCCTTTTTTCATTTCCCCGCAGTTCCCTTTTATTCATATTTTTCCCCCTTTTATGCAAGAGCTGAAGGAGGGTGGTCAAACAAACAGCTTTTCTTGTCTCTGAGAATGCATCTCATCTTTGGGGAGAAAACTAGTCTAAGAGCATCTAAAAAAATACAGGTACATACTGGGACACTTAAGTGAGTAAATTTTTTAGTTGTTTGTCTACACAACAGTAGTGGTTGTTACTATTGTGAGCACATGTGTGTATGTAATGTTCTTTTGTTTATAACTCAGGCCCAAATGCCCTTTTATAGTAAAACAGGTCTGACTCATCACTTCCAAAGTCACCAGATAGTGCAGTGGCCAGTAGCCAAGTGAGAGTGGCCAGGTGGTAGAGTCTTCTGTTTGTCTTGCTGATCCTGAGACAGTTTCAATGGAAAGAACCTCACTGTTTATCACTTGCTCTTCTCTTCCAGGATGTACCACTAATAAGCCTAGCAAACATCTTCCACAACGCAAAACTCTGGAATGATGCCATTATTGTGGCTACCATGGCAGTGGAAATAGCACCACACTTTGTGGTTAATCATTTCACACTGGCAAATGTCTACGTAGCAATGGTGAGTGTGCTGTCACCCAGTTATGTCTTGTCTTTGGTACAGTGTGTGTGTGTGTGTGTGTGTGTATATATATATATATATATTAAAAAAAAAAATTTTATTCTTACAAATAGTTTTGGAGGAGCAGCATTCAAGAAATGGGTAGGATCAACAGAGAGAATATTTTTTGAATGCCAAAACTCTTATTACTCATTTTACTCTTATTATTCATTTAGTACTTGAAGGCCAACATTTTTATAAGCTGGCTTCAGAATGCTGTCTGCAAAGCTTTGTTAAGACAGTAGCAAACAATTGATAATTTTGGTTGGCTGCCCGTCTAAACACAGGATATTTTTATAATACTGGAAAATTAATGATAAATTTGGTCTCTATCCTGAAGAGCTGAGCTTAGCATAATAAGTAAAACCCAGTTGACAGTTGTGATGAACAAACACAAGTGAAGTGTAATTTCAATATCTGGATTATCAACACCCAGAGTAATTTGCAGATTGAACTCAAATTTCTTCATACTCTCTATATATTCTAAACTTCAATTTAGCTTTCAGTGCTTACTCTGAACACAATGTTCATTCCTTTTTTATCTCTACCAATGCTGTACTGGTTCTTGTGTGTTTCGTCCTTATCTTTAACAGGGACAGTGTATTTGAAGGGTAAAAGAGGTACCATAAACTGAGACGTAGTTGAGATAGAGATATATAGATACAGATATAGATAGATAGATATAAAAAAAATGTATGTGTTGAAAGTATTTTCAGTTACACATGTTCTTATGTATCCCTGCCAGTTTTCAGCACTTGTCATTGATTTATCCTTAATGTTTTGCTCCTGTGGTTGAGGGGATCACGGAGATAACAGGGCAAGTTGAGCAGGTCGTCATGTATTATGGCTATCAGGGTTGAGATGAGTTGGAATGCAGGGTGCTGTCAAACGCACAATGGTAACAAACTGAAGAAAGGCATGACTTTGTTCTACTTCTGACAGTTGTTTGAAAGAAGCAAAGAAGAAGTTTGATGCTTCAGTTGCTAATGTCTTTTTAAAGCTAGCACAGTGCCTAAGGATAACTTCATTCTCCCTGGATCTGAGAGATATCTCAATGAAGCCCCATATTCATTATATGAAATGACTGTAGCAACAGGACAAAATTTATCTTCTGGATCAAATTATACTAACATAAAGACAAGTTAGTTTATTTGTGTCATATTTAACCTGCTGTATTTGAGAGCTGACTCTGACCAACAGGTTGTAGAAGATGTCATACTAATTAATAGTATAGCATCATAGAGGCCAAGGTTCCTTTATTTGCAAAACTTTTCAGTAAGTTGCCTTACAAAGGGGAAACAGTTGGCCATGTTAAGGATTGAGAACTTTGGATGGATGCTATAGAAACTATTGATGTGGGAATCTAAAGGAACATCAAAATAATATCAGATCACAGCAAATGTAAATTATTACATCTAAAAATGGAAAAATCTGATTCTTGTTTTCATTGCTGCTTGTCAGTGTTCCTACAAACTAATACAGGGTTTTCTGTGTAATTCCTGTTGAAACTGTATTAAAATACACTTTTTTTTAAAAATCAAGACTTTACAACTCACATTGATCCAGTTAGTGTTTATAATGTGGCTAGAAATGAAGATTATCTCTACTGGACAAATAAAGGTACTGAGAAAAGAACTTAAGAGAACAAAAACAGTGTTGAAAGTGACTGAAAAATGTTTCGGGTCTTTCCCCCTCTCGTTTTTCTTCTAATACACTATTGGATGTTGGTGTGCTTTCCTAGTTAATAAAAAAAGCGGAGTGGCATAGGTAATTACATTTCAGCTGTATAAAAATAGATGTTATTTCAGCATGAATGCTTCTTACTACCATTCTGGAGTCCAGTTTATCAATTGAAATTGTCTAGCTACTGTATGCTCTTAAAGTTTTGTTTGTTTGTTGGGTTTTTTTACTTCGAGTAATCTTTTAAAATAATTTCAAGTTGTTTCTAAAAATGTTGGCTTTTTAGCAAAGTTTATGTTTTTGCATTGTCTAAGATTTTAAAGCTTTGATCTGTGTAAAATCTGACGGAAATCTGTTTTTAAAAGTTACTTTTACAGCAAGAATGCTAAGATCTACTATTAAAAGGAAAATGCGAGAACATTGGTCAATAATGCTCAGCAGTGATTTGACTCCCTTCCGTGGAGTATGCAGAATTGGATCATTAGCCCAAGAAAATATCGGAATTATTTGTTGGAGGGGGGGAAAAAAATCCTAAACCACAAGCGTTGGTTCAGTTACTTTTGTATATACCATACTACTCAACTGCTTAGGACAAGAAAGGCATAGAAAATGTGTTTACTGTTTTCTACAATCTGACTCTTTGCAATTTTTCTTTCTTTACAGGAAGAGTTTGAGAAGGCGATGAAATGGTATGAGTCAACACTAAAACTTCAGCCGGAGTTTGCCCCAGCAAAAAATCGAATCCGCACCATTCAGTGTCATTTACTTATGAAAAAAGAGCGACGATCTCCTTAGAGATCAGCATCTTTCTCCTTTTTTAAAAATGTCATTATTCTCTATTCTGCTTTTAAGTGTGCTAAGATAAATTGATGAATCAAAATTTTTAACAAGACTTTTAAAAAGAGATGGGATTTGGATCAAGGGTTCTTTTTTTTTTTTTTTTTCCTCAAATATAGGAGCATCTTTGGAAAATATATTTCACAGACCATAATTTTAAAACATCCGTGTAAATATTAAACCAAGAAACTTCCATGAGTCCATGACCACCTGTACCAGGACCCAGGCACTGTTAGTTTTTCCTTAATGCTCAGATTGGCATCAGCATCCAAAATAACTCGCTTCATGTCTTATGATCTAAGTCAATGGAAATGCAAAGCACACACCTGTACCGAATAGAAGAGATAATCAGCAATTTATCCATGTGAAACTCATGCTTTGTCCAGTCTTGTTCACTCCATACCACATTACCTGCTTTTTTGGAAGGAGAGGGACAGGATTTAAAATGTTTATTAAAAAAACATTAGGAACATCAAGTATTTTTGGAATTGTTTATTTCTCTTGTGGGATGAGGAGGAAATGAGGAGGAGGGAACAGCAGGACACTAAAATTAAAGTGGTTTTTAATCTTACTTGCAAAAAAGAATTGCTAAAAATCCCAATAAGATGTTTTATATTTGTCTATATATTCATAGCCCTCTGCCTCCCTGAATGGTTGATTTACTAATTCTTTGTTCACTGTATTTTTAGCCATTTCAGAATAAGGTGCAAGTTTATGCTCACTCTGAGCCATACTTTCAGCTGCCGAGGAGGAGGAGGGAGGCGGTGTCAAGGTATCATCAGCAAATAAGTCAGGTGGAAGATTTCCAAATCAGTTCGCTTTGGTTGGTGGAGGACATGATTCTCCAGACATCATTGTTGAATCAACAAGGGCACATATTTGAAATGAAATAAATTGTTTATGAACAAAACACAGCTTCTCCTCTAATCTTTGTGTCATGCGCCGTTTGCAGGAGTCTAGGCTTGGGGAGCTACAGCCTTTCCTCATGAGCAGACAGAGGTGGGGAGGCAGGAAAGCCTTTAACACTCCTGATTAGACAATGATTTTCTGCGTATCCATGGAAAATTCCCTGCACCTCTGTGCCTGACCCCTTTTCTGTGGGGTCAGGCTAAATCAGCTGTCTGTCATGTAACCTACCCTCCAGCTCTTAGTGTTAAACGTACTGCTCAGTGATTCTTTTTAAAGAGCTAACAATGTTTATGAAGTTACTCTTTTTGTTGATCTTTTTCCTCTTTCAGTGATGCAAATTAAGAGCAAGTATGGCAGTGGTGGAAACTATGACGTCAACGTAATTTTTTTTAATACTGTAACTTTTTACTTCATAAAAGGTTCCCTGTATATTTTTATATATAACTGCAGGTGAGCAGTTCTAGTGGAAATTTTACCTCTGTTTTATTGCAAGTAATTTTTGTTCATCTAGAAAGTCTGACAGAGGTATGAGCTAGTGCTACTGTTTGGTAGGTTTTTTTATTAAAAATGGGTGAACGTGTTAAATTTTTGTCAACAGAGCCAACAGCGTGTCAAAGCCTTCCCTTCCCAAGGCTACTTGAAGCCTGGATGTTGTTGACTGGAGATGGGCATAGCTATATCTGAATAAACTCCAAGAGGAAGATCACCTTCTGGAAGGTCTGATACACCACTAGGATCATGGACTGGGATAACAAATCACAGTGATCTCTCACATAGAGGTGTGGGAGGGGGAACCAGTAAGGCAGGTAAAAGTAAATGGAAAGAAGTTCTGTTAGAGCTAGAAAAAAGTTAGAGCAAAGGCTTTTCCTTGAACTAAAGCAATGCACAGAGAGGCTGCTTTTATTCAGTTTCATTAAGTGATCTGCTTTACTTTTATAGTGGTTGATACTTGACAGTCACTTAAATATATTTGGTAAATCTCCCATTTCATGGGCTAGTTTTAAAATGTAATATGCAAAAACTTCTCTTGGTACAGAGGATCCACCTTACTACTTGGTTTCCTAGTGTGTCTTATGGTCAAATCCAGTGATTGCCACATGCTGAACTCTTTTTTTCTACTGCATCTGTCCCATTGATGATGAGAGATGCTGGGATATAAGTGAAGAGTAAGGCTGGTCCGTAAGAACCTAAAGCAGCAATATGTGGAGCACAGATGGTCATCCTTGGCTTTGACAAAAGATGGAATTAAAATAGACCTTTTCTGGATCACCAAGGATTATGCTCATAGACAGCACTGATGGGCATTTAAAATTAGACGTTAATACTCATGTCAGTTTACGTCTTGCTTACTGCAGTATTATTTTTTATTAAGAAATGCAGCAAGGTGCACTGTATACCGACATCATCCAAAAGGTAGGAACCCTAGTTTTGTGTGCATGACCATACTGTAAATTGGTATTGCCACCAAGGAGATAGCAGGCTTTTGCTCTTCTTGCTCTGTTTGCATTTCCAGAGAACTTGCGTCTTATAAATGGTTCTTGAAAACTGCAGTAGTCTGACTTCATGTAATTTTTTTCTGAATCTTGGTTAAGTACTTTAAGGGAATGTGTACTGCCGTACTCTCATAAAATTTGTATGTACAGCTGTTCATTTGCTACTTGGCTACTGTATGCTGTATCTGCCATAAAACTAATTTGAAAATAGCCCATGCTTCCCTCTTAACTGTATTTTCAGAAATTTTAGGTAATTCTAAGTGTACTGCATAAGCAGTACATAAAACTGAAGCAGGGAAGCAAAAAGATCTACTCGAGAGCATAAACTTGACCTAACACCAGCAACAGAGTGTGTGTCTTAAAGATATCACCCACGGATTAATCTACTGGGGAAGGCTGGCTCCCACCCTGGAGAAGGCGAATGGAAGACTCTCTCATCTCCATGTCTTCAACCCTCCTGTATAAATGCAGAGAATGGTGGGTTTGAGTGGTTTGGCTATGTTCAAATGTTAGTCAAAGAAAAACTAATTATGCAGATCTTAGAAGACAATTTGGGCAGCGTGTTGAAAGGGAAGCCAGTGAATTTTACAGAGCAAAGGTGCGACTCTGCAGGATGAGCTAGCTATTTAAGGATGACATTCATCTCCTTCCATTTAAGCTATTTTAAAACAAGCTAAGGTAAGTTGCCTTGGCTCTGTCTTCAGTAAATGGAAAAGATTATTATCTTGAGAGGGTGATCCACCCTCCCTGTTGTAGAGCGTGACAAATGGCCTGTTCAAACTGCCTGTTCCTTTCCATTGACTGTTGAGGTACCTTTGGCCAACTGAACTTCAATATGATTTCTAATAATGAGACTTAGTAACTCATTTCATATTGACTGGCTCTGCTAAATGTATCGCCAAAGTAGTCTAATTTAGGGATGACACAACCATAGGTAAATGGCAAAATCCCCTCTTCTCCAAAAAAGTTTTTTTTCTGTTGTTTTCAGAGCATACCCAGAAATGAAGTATAGATGGGGAAAAAAAGTCTCCATTTGTTTGCAGATAGCATCACGCTCCTGACATCCAGGGGCTTTTGAGGGCAACAGCTACAAGACAAGAATCAGATACTTCTGTCTATGGAGTGGTGGTTTTGATTCACCATTGATGGCATAGTTGTACCGGTCGGGGCTGCAGTGATGCCAGACAAAAAAAAAATAAAATAAAATACTATGTTGGCACCCAATGTGACCATAGCATCACATTCAAATAACAGATTTTACAGCGCAATGGAGGCTGGGATCTTAATTTCCATCACCTGTGGACACCTTGCATCACCTGTGATGGCCAATTTTTGTAGCAAACTGAAAATATTACTCAGAAAAGTTTTCTGATGGAACCTAGAACCTTCTTTCCCCACTCTCTAACCCTTCCTCCTTCCCTCTTACAGGAAAAAGACTAAAACCAAACAAAAACCCCATAACCTCTCCCTAACAATTGTATGATATAGCCAAAGATGCTATATTAGCTCTGTTGCAGTATTGTGATGCTTTTGCTTCCTGCGATTTTCAGTAGCTGCCCTGAATTTGTCTGGCTAGCAATTTAGGACCTCCTGAGTTTAGACCTGCTTCATGAATAGTAACGTTCCTATCCGTGTCGCTGTCCTCCTGTATGACTTTAGACAAGGCATTTCCACTTGTCGCTGTACCTCTCTTCCTCCCACATGTTGTCTGATGTCTTTTTAGAACATATGGGGGTTTTTGGAGCTGGAATCATTGCTGTTTATGTCTTTTTATGAGAAACAGTTGTAGTGCCAGAGAATACAAATAGTAGCAACACAAATTAAAAACAACTGTGTGGAGACCTATGAAGCAGGGAAAAAGAAGAGTTTAATAGTCTCTGTATCAGCACTGAAAGAGTGAAAATGCTTTAGAAGAACTTCTCTTGGTGTTCAGAGCAACACAAGCTCCTTCTCTTCTCCGGAGCTACTGGATGTTGTGTGGCAGGTTCAGGGTGGCCCTCCTGTCTCAAGCATCACTTAGAGGTGTCCTTCTGGAGTGCTGCAGGTTGCCTTGATTTCTTAGAAGACCAGCTGGCCATTTTTGGGTCAACGAGACTCTCTTGAAAGAAACGTCCCCAAAGAGTAAGGTCTGTCACTTGTGGGGTTGCTTTTGCCGCTTTTTTTTCCCCTCTTAATTTGCTGAATGTAATCAAGTGTGCCAGGATTCAAACAAAGCAAATGGGTCCATGAACACTGAGGCTTATGCAGCTTTCCTATCAATTTGTGGTCTTCTTGCTGAAGTCTGATGGCTGGTTATCTGTGAGAGCTGACAGAAGGTTGTCCTGCAAATGACTGCCAGGAAAGGGCAGGCAGTGAACTTAAAAACATTTATTTTTATTATTGGTTTTAGGGAATTTGCACAAGAGTGATACAACCTACATATAATGTTAAGAAAGCGAAAGTCTGAATTAAGTGAGACGGTTCTCATACTTGAGCTTTTCAATACTTAAAAATGAGAAAAGCTTAAGGACTGATTAGGAACAGTGTTTTGATAAGGCTGACTGCTTAAAAAAGCAGCCCCTCAAACTTCTGCAAGTACTTTATTTTTTTTTTAACCTTTTAAACTTAATGATCTGCTTCTGGGTTCCAGAGCAAAAATAATAGTAACTGAGTTCAGTAGTCCCAGAAGAGGTGCAATGACAGTGCCACAGAAGGAACAGTTTCAAATACAGATGAGTGCGAGTAGCTTTGTGGTGTTTATAATTTTAGGGGGGTTGTCTTAAGGCAGATTTGCTGAGTTTTTTTCTTTAATCTAGTTTCAGGCTGCTCCTTCCACATTCAGTCCTTCAGAATCGGGTTATTGCTAGTCTAACAGAGTTTTGCTCTTTATATTTATTTGTGCCCATGGCATGCCAGGTGTTTCACAGAAGAGCCAGTCTCTGCTCTGAAGGCTGTACAGCCCAGACATCGGCCCACAGTATATTTACAGTGGTTCCAGACTTTGTGGAGCTCATTCCATGACCGGGATCAGACTGCTCTTCTGTCAAACCTTCTGGCATCAGTCCTTCCACGATAGCACCACTGCCGGTTTCAAAATCCGAGCTATCCACGCTTCTCTGAGGAGAAGACAGTACTCCGCCAAATCAAGCAATTATCATTCTAGTACAATTTAATGGAAAACTTTCAACCTGAATTTTTGACTGTTCTGCTTTTTGATCAAAATCCAGTCTTGTCTTCTCTCTATGATTATCCAATTCTACTGTTGTTTTTTTAAAAAAAGAAATTATTGTCCAGAGCTGCAGGTGTTACAGACTACAGTATGATAGCATGAGTTACCAGTATGTCTTATGAGTGCCTTCTTCTGTACCCTGTCTTGTGATCCATGTGCTGAAGAGCAAAGAAGTAATATTTAAAAGTCATTAAGAGACACTAACTTGTGGGCAGATGCAATCCAAACAACATAAATGGATGGAGGAAGCCAGTTTTATCCAACTGCCATGCTAGGAGCTGAGGTAGGAAACCGTATTCT